TCTTAGGTGTACTATTATTGAGGTGGAAGTCAAGGAGCTGGCTGTTCTGTCTGGCAGGGGTGCTTGGATCACAAAACTAGCTGGATAGAATGACAACTCCTTAATGGTCTGCCTAACGCACATAAACATTGCATTTTTACCATTGCACCACGCAAAGTAGTGCATTACCTTGCACTGCAGGGCACACCCATTGCAAGGTGCACTGGAGTGCCATTCAGATTGAATGGCAATGCATTTCACCCCATTCATGTAACGTGTTACCACAGTGCAGTAGTGTGAATGAGCTCTTAAAGTGTCAGTGAATTTGTTTGTAAAACAAAAATTGTATATAAGAAAACTAAAATAATACAACAGTTTTTATTTTCAAATAGTTTTTATTGAAATTTTCAGCTTTCTTAAACAAGATAACATCATATAGAAACATTTGAGTACAAGGTTCACAAAAGCAAGTTTACAACATATGAGATGAAGGAAGAGGTGATAGACCCCCACCATTCGGCTGGGGACCTGTTAATTGTGATCATGTTTACATGAGAGGTATGCTCGTGGTTCATGAACCTTGTTGAAGAACGTAAAACGTAAGGGACTAGGTAGGGGTTGAGAAAAGGGATAGGAAGAGTGTGGGAGGGAGGGAGGAGGGCACCAATGAGCTACAAATATAACATCCGATAAGGTTTGGGACTAGTAATCAGGTGATTGAACAATTGGGGTGTTTTAACCATCGAGACCAATGTAGTATGAATGTATGGTAGGTGGAGTTTCGGAGGGCCGTTCTTCGTTCCATCTCACATTGTAGATTGAGATCAGCAACAAGACGGGACAACAGGGGAGGTGAATGTAGACCGCCATAGTTTAGTAATGTTTATCTTTGCTGCTGCCAGAATGTGTACGATAATAGTGCATGAGCGTATGGGGAATTTTTCTATCATTATATGAAGGAGGGCTAGACCAGGATTTGGGGTCATTGGTGAATCTATAATTGAAGAAATTATTTGGAACACTTTATTCCAATGCGACTTGATGGATTTGCATGACCATAGCAAATGGAAGAGCGAGCCAGTTTCGCCACAATGTCTCCAGCAGGTTTGTGACTGCTGTGGATAGTATAAAGATAATTTAGCAGGGGTTAGATAACATTGGTGGAGAATTTTCAAATATGATTCCCAGTGGGAACTACACTTTGAGGCTTTGTATGTGATGGTAAACGTTGTTTGCCAGGATTGTGAGGTTGTTGGGAGAAGTAAATTCCTCTCCCAGTTAGTCAGAGATGACGTATGGGTTATAAATTGTGCTTCAATTAGTAATGTATAGAAGGTGGATATTCCCTTCTTTGGATAAATAGTCTTATGGAAGAAATGGTGTGCAGTAGCAGGAAAGTCTATTTCAAGTGGCATGTTTGTTTTATGGAGCAAGTGGGTTATTCGCATAAAAGTGAATTGCTCTTTATCAGGAAGATGGAATCTCTCCTGGAGGGTCTGAAAAGAATCTGGTTTTTGAGTATTGTGGAGATCTTGAATATGATATATCCCGCACGCTTTCCAAGATGTCAAGTTTAAATGGGGGGAAAAGAAGTGCAGAGATGATATTGGGGTAGGGATTCGTAGATTAGCCTTATGGGAATGCGTAAATGTCAGGAAATCATGCCAAACCATCAGAGAGGCCTGGATACATGGATGTGTATGTAGAGGTCTAGTCTGAGCTATATGGGGCGTAAAAAGTAAATCTGTTAACGTGCCTGGCGAGTACAGAGAGGTTTCCATGATAGTCCAGGTTTTGTCTTGGGTAGGGTGCCACCAGTAGAAGAGCTGGTCTAATAAGACAGCTTGGTAATAGGATTTTAAATGCGGGAGACCGGCTCCCCCTCTGGAGGGCGGACGTATCAGGAGGTTTGTGGTACATCTAGGCCGTTTGGAGTTCCATAATACAACAGTTTTTAAATAATTACAAACTTAAAAAAAAACCCTAAAATTCAATTGTCTTGAAAATCATTATAGATTCCCCTTAAAATGGTAGTAAAGCTCCTAGAGAGAAAAAAAAGTTTTCCCCCTGCAAGGTAATATCATAATGCACTAGTATGCTAGCACATTATATTAGCACATTATACTAGCACATTATGAAAGACTTACCGTAAAATTAAGCCCTCCAGCGGCGCGCTGTCACCACTACCAGGGCTGGGTACGGGGCACGGCTATGCCATTTTACCTACAGGTAAGCTTTAGGTCTCATTCACACCATGGTGCAGAGACGTCAGTTTTTCTGCATGTGTTTTGCAAGGGCACAACAAAATCAGTTGTTTTCTATGTGCACTGTTCACACCACAACACGAATATCACCTGAAGATTTTTTCTGCGCAAGAATCTGCAACGTGTATAAAACTAATTGAAGCGCGCATGAAAACTGATGTAAATAGATGTCTATGCAAGTGAAATCTGCATGTCAGTTTCCATCAGTTTTCATTATGGTGTGAACAAGCCCTTATAAGCTTACCTGTAGGTAAAAATCAACATAGAGAGTTTACTACCACTTTAAGGCAAATCTCTGGTGTTTAACCGCCTCCCGCCTGCCATATAAGGAAATGACGGGCACAAGGTGCTTCTCTCGTTCTGGGAGGACATCATATGACATCCTCCCACTCTAACCGCACGTGCGCGCCTCCAGGGTGCGCAGCGCGGCGATCGGTGGTGCGCTGTGTACCTGGGACACAGCAGATCACCGATCAACAGAAAGAGCCAAAGACATCGGCTCTGTCATGTGATCAGCTGTGTCCAATTACAGCTGATGACATGTAAACAGGGAAATGCCGGTTATTGGCATTTCTCTCGTCACGAGCTGTCACGCTGACAGCTCGAGAGGAGAGGAGAGCCGGTAATCGGCATTCCTCGGAGGGGACATGTACACGGATCATCAGGGCACTGATGATCAGTGTAGCCCCAGCAGTGCCACCTGTCAGTGCCCATCAATGCCACCTGCCAGTGCCCATCAGTGCCACATAGTGCCTACCAGTGCACATCAATGCCACATATCAGTGCCCATCTGAGCTGCCTTTCAGTGCCACCTATCAGTGCCAATCATTGCCACCTATCAATGACAGTCAGTGCCACCAATCTGTGCCACCTATCAGTGCCAGTCAGTGCCACCTATCAGTGCCATATATGAGTGCTGCCTTTCAGTGCCCACCAGTGATGCCTGTCAATGCCCATAAGTGCCACCTATCAGTGCCTCTTCATCAGTGACCATCAGTGCAGCCTATTAGTGCCCATCACTGCAGCCTCATTAGCGCACATCAGTGAAGGAGAAAAATTACTTATTTACAAAATTTTATAACAGAAACTAAGAAAAAACACATATTTTTTTTCAAAATTTTCAGTTGTTTTTGGTTTGTTTAGCAAAAAATAAAAAAACCCAGAGGTGATTAAATACCACCAAAAGAAAGCTCTATCTGTCTCAAATAAAAATGCTAAAAAATGTAATATAGGTCCAGTGTTGCATGACCGTGCAATTATCATTCAAAGTACAACAGCGCTGAAAGCTGAAAATTGGCCTGGGCAGGAAGGGGGTATAAGTGCCCTGTAGGCTAGTGGTTATTGAGTAGGCAAACTGCTGCAAGTGTTAAAGGATAAGTTCACCTTCTCAGGCAGAATTTCACTTTAAATAATAAAGAGAAATGTTTTCCAATGCCATTTCTGGCCCAGCCATCCCAATGTTACCTCACCCACAGGACATTTAATTTTTTGTCAGTGTATGTGAGATTTTGAACCGTTTTTCAGATTGCATAATTTCCTGTCAATGATATCTCAGCGTTCACTTCCTGTAGACCATCTCCCAGAAGCCTTCACTTCCTCATCAGAAGAGGCTGTGATAGGGTGTATTCACCACTCTGGACCAGGGGCGGACTGACCATTTGGAAACTCGGGCACTGCCCGAGAGCCCGGGGTCAGTAGGGGGCCCCATGAGATGCCCCTGGTACCTTTTTCATAGGCTTTTTTGAGTTTGTGCAAGGACACAGGGGCTCCATGATCCCCATTGCCTGGGGGCCCCATGAGTTGTCAGTCCGCCCCTGCTCTGGACCACACCTCACTCATTGGAATACTACTTTCCTCCCATCAGCTATGCAGTACAAGAGCTTGTCTGATTTGACACAGATTGAATGAATTGTTCAGATGTGTCCTCCTATTCCATAGTTCTGGTAAATCTAAAAGAAAATGTAAAATCAGATTGCATAGTATATGGCCATCTTTATACAAGTACATAGGTGGAAGTGAACAGAGACGCTAAGTTGTCAGGCCCCATTCACATCTTCACGTAGTGAAGAATCACATTCCCGCATGCATTTGTTTTGGGTGTTTCAAAGCGTTTTCACTTGTCACGCATAGGGCAGCCCCATTCACGTAAATCACCCTAGAAAAGCTCCAGAACCTTTTTTTGAGTGGAGCACAAAGAGTTACTGCAGTTCTTGGTGCGTTTGCTGTACTTGAGGTGCCTTTAACACGTAATGACAACACCAACACGTTGCATATATGCAGCGTGTTTCTGAAACGCATGGCAAAGCATGCATTTTTTGTGCAGTTTACCATGCGTTCAGAAACACACACATGTGAATGGAGCCTCATTGTTCTTGTGTAAAAAACCAATGTCACTTTTTGGCCCCATTCACAAGGAGAGTAGAGGGAGTACATGTGTCCCATGGGTTGCATTGGGGGCTCAGGGAGTTTAGCATGCGGCCTGAGTCCATCTGTTGAGACGCTGGGGTAGCCAGGCAAATGAGGAGAGAGATGCCACAGATGCTGCGAAAAATATTTGATGGGTGAAGGATGTGTGTTTAACTACTTGCCAACCGCAGATAGCCGAATGACGGCTACACTGTGGCCGGCTAGTTCCCCCCGGGGCGCGTACCTGGTGATCAACGTGATCGCTGTGTCCTATGATGTTGTAAAAGGCCAATCACAGCGGCCTTTTACCACGTGATCAGCCGTGTCCAATGACACGCTGATCACCGGGAAATGCAATTGACGGTTCTCGGCTGCACTTTCCTCACGCTGTCAGATTGTGAGGAAAGTACTGCCGAGAACCGGCAGTTGTCAGAGTAGGGACTGGCACCGATCATCAGGCACTGATGATTAGTGCCCTGATGATCGGTGCCCAGCAGTGCCACCCACCAGTTCCTCCCACCTGTGCACAGCAGTGCCGCCTACTAGCTCCGCCCACCTGTGCCCAGCAGTGCACCCACCTGTGCCCAGCAGTACCCTTCAGTGCCACCCAGCAGTGCCACCTACCTGTGTCCAGCAGTGCCACCCACCTGTGCCCACCCATCTGTGCCCACCAGTGCCACCCACCAGTGCCCATCAATACAGCCCAGCAGTGCTGCCAATCAGTGCCTAGCGGTTGTGCCAGTCAGTGCCCAGCAGTTGTGCCAGTCAATGCCTAGCAGTGCCACCAGTCAGTGCCCAGCAGTGATGCCAGTCAGTGCCACCTATCAGTGCTGTCTAGCAGTATCCATCATCAGTGCCGCCTATCCGTGACACCTCATTAGTGCTGCCTATCAGTGTCCTTCAGTGCTGCCTATCAGTGCCCATCAGTGCCGCCTATCAGTGCCCATCAGTGCTGCCTCATCAACGCACATCAGTGAAGGAGAAAAATTACCTGTTTGAAAAATTTTATAATAGAAACAAAGAAACTTTTTTTTTTTTAATTTTTGCACAATTTTTGTTTATAGTGCAAAAAGTAAAGCCCCCAGCGGCGATTAAATACCACCAAAAGAAAGCTCTATTTGTGAGAAAAAATGATAAAAATTTCATATGGGTACAATCTTGCATGACTGCACAATTGTCAATCAAAGTGCAGTTGCCGCATGGCCCTATTCGCTTGAATGCAAAGGCAAGTGGTTAATGAGGTCAGTGCAGGATGTGTGTGCTAATGAGATCAGCTGGTAATCTGCTTCCTGGTCATACTGGCTCCTCTGTCCTCTGTTTGCATTCCAGGAATTGAAAAAGTTTTCTAAGAAATTTACCAACAGCTAAGGTAAGGCCTTGTTCTCCAGATCAAAGAGAGCTTATATATTTTTGCAATGGAGGAACATTTATGGTATATTGGTGCATAGGGGAGCTGAATTTTAGAAAAAAAAAAGTGAACTTAGCCTGTAGGTTCTGACATTATTAGCTTGTTCTCATGTGCAGATATCTTTGCTGCCCCCTGGAAAGTGGTCTGCAGTGAATCTCTCTTTTCAGATGATGTTTGAGAGTCAGTAAAGAGGTGATATGTTGTCTCCTCACTGCTTGTTTTACTCTCAAATTGAGGGCCTATTGCACCAGAAATGCATGCATTGCCTGCAGTTGCAGGGCACTTGCCGCATGGCCCTATTCGCTTGAATGCATTGCATTTGGCAGCTGTACCACCCACTGAATGCAGCATGTCATTTAATTTTTGCCTCAGCCACGAATCAAAGCATTATACCCACGGCATGTGTACATTGCCGAGTAACTGCATTTATTTATTTAGGTAGGTGGTCAGGGAGCGGTAAAACCATTCACCAAGATCTTTAAACATACAGTAGCACTAAATGAAAGGTCCATTACTCAGATTTGTTTATATAAAAATGAACACATTTTATTATTAAACAATATTACAATTCAAGGCTGATAATAAAAACATAACTATACAATAACCATATTCAACATACTGCATTTAACATTCCCTGTTTAATACAACCAAGTTGGTGGGCAGCACTTACAGAGAGTGGTGCATTTATCACTCGAAGCGACGGATGACGCCTGTCAGAGGGGGTGGCCGGAAGCAGTCTTGCAACAAGGCACTTGTATATGGAGAGACTCCTGCTGACAGTCCCAAGTCTGTCCATCCTCTTCATGAACCTCTCCCTACGCCAGGCACTCTGTCCCTAACCAGCAGGTTCCTGTCCCTGACCTAGCCACTACACAAAATGCATGCCAACTGACGGGGACAGTACTATTTATTAAATTTATTTGGCCATCCAGGAGGCAGCAACATATAATCGGACAGCAGCTCTCCTGATGACACCTACAGTGGCTTCAAAGAAACATGGGTTCCCCCCTCTCCTCTGCTTTCTCTACATGGCAGCTGCCAAACAGCACTACCTGTGCAGGGAGGCCAGACTACATCTGCCTGCATATGGTAATAAACCTAATTATTATTATTTATTATTATTATTATTAATAATAATATATATAATAATAAATATGGAAATAAAATATAATTATGTTGATTCCCTTTTGCCTAGACAGGCGCATGCCCCAGTAGTTACTCTGAGATATGAGACATTAGGATCAAATTCTGTTGAGCACATGCTGTGTGTACAAAAGAGATCACAAGTGACATGAAGCAGACTAGTCTCTCTTTACCTTTGCAGATCTGTGTACTGTGTTATTATTGTCCGCCAGGAGCCGAGTTTGAGATCCCCTTAATTCTAAGAATACAGAATCCTCTTGTAACAAATTTGAGTACTCTGATTTAAGTGCATTTAATAAGCTTGCCATTTTTTAAAATGATCCATAATAATGCTAATTGAATCAGCAAAAAATGAGATTTACAAAGTTATGACTTTCCATAATGTTTGAATGCAAATCTACGTAATTTATCTGCAGAGAGTCACACAGATAAGCAATCCAGGCATTCTCAATTCATGAATTGTATAATTCTTTGTAGGTAGGAAAAAAATTTGCATGTATATGTTTTGGTGTAATGAGAAAGAAACACTAAATTTGACTATTCACTAATCACTAGTCCATACATAGATGGCATCCTTAAAGTGTATCTGAAGCCAAAACTTTTTTTTTAAAATGGGGATGCGTTTGAACCCTCTTAGATTTGCATTGCTGGCTGTGTCCCCTTTAAATACGTTTACTCTCTCCCGATGTCACTGAAACTGAAAGTGAGAGAAAATTTAAAATTTCCTCCCAGCAGCTCTTATATCATTACTGTGTTCTACAATGTTGAATGGGCCAGCCAGAGGGACTGTGCACAGGCCTAGAATTCAGCAGATTTCTCCCAACAGCAGCTCGCAGAATGAGCGTTGAGTTTTAAATATCTTCTTTTGTGGAGAACACATTTTTACTATTTTTATTCTGGTGACAATTGCCTTAATTAAAGCCTATCCACCCCATTACCCTCCACCCAAAAAAGTAATACCCCATCGCCTTCCTCCCCAAAAAATGTATATATATGAGAAGTCCAATTTTCATGCAGATTTAAATTTTACTAATTATTGTTGCATGCATGAGGGGTTAATATTTTTATATTTTCAATTTCCCCCAACCCTTTTTTTTTTACCTTAAGCAATGCTTCACAGTATTGACAAAGTCCATCTATCTTACAATAGTACTGGATTCCTTCTCTCTCCTTCCCTTCTCTTGTCCCTCTATAAATCCTGGTTCATTTAATTAATCTCACTTCCAGCACAGGCTTCATAACACCGGCCCATTCAAGCAAACACAACATTAATTCATGTATTCAGGCAATCACATTTGAGGGTATATTACATCTGTCATAATTTCGCTTACATGCACACGGAGGATTGTTTCAGTTTTAGAAAACACTTGCAGCCCCTTGACTCATCAGAATGGGGCTAAATGTTTTCAGGCCCCTCTCTCTGATCTGTTTTGGTTTCTTGTTTTATTTACATGATATACCTGACCTTGTGTGCTCTGTGGCAGTGAATGAGGAGAGTACATAGTAAAAGCTGTGGGAGAGAACAGCTGATGACCACAGATGGGATTCCAACCTTATAGTAGGAATGGACAATAACAGTAGACTCTTTTTTTTTTTTTTTCAGCTGTCTCTGGTTCCCATGAACCATAGTCAGTCACTATGTATTTGTAATAACTATGTATGTACATACCAGGGAACCTTTCTTACTTACAGCAGTCTCATTAGCTGTTATGTTACTCTTAGGTCACATTCATGCTGGTGATTTATAAAGTTGTGACAGGGAGCCACCTAAAGCAGCATAACCAGGATTCTGCATATATGCAACAGGCACCTCAGCTGTCTATTAGCAAAGAGTCTGACTTTAGATACTTAGACATTGAGATAATGCATACTGAACACTTTTGGACTGTAAGAATATGTCAACCCAAAATTTCAAATTCCTGATATGTGCTGCTACACACATGTACTTGTATGAAAAAGTATCCTGTTCTCTTTGTATTGCTTCCTTTGCGTGAAATCACAGGTGTTCCTGCCAGTCCTCTGCTTTCCTATTAAACCTGGCCACACTAGGCATGAGAGCACAGCATGGTCAGTTTTTTGGCTGAGCTGAGAACTGAACTTGCTCCCCTCCAGTGTTCAGACTTTTGCTGACACGCCCCCCCCCCCCCCCCGCACAGACATTCACTTGGAAGATCAGTGTGCTCTCATTTCTCCTCCCCCAGCTCCATAAGTTCCTTATGCAAATGAGAACAGAGGGTATGTGATCACTTATTAAAAATGGGAAAAACAGGTATTTTATAATGTTTTTTATATGTATACTATTTTAAACTGAATGGGTTGTTTTACAAGGCGAGGGTTTACATATACTTTAAGCTTTTATTGGTCACCTTTTTACTGTGACTTTAAAAAGAATGTGACCATGCTCGTGTCATTTGCTAGTTTGGAAGGTGGTGAACACGAGGTGTGAGCATTGTAGAGGAGTGATAATTGATGAGAAGATTTTCTCCTGCACTTTATTGAAGCGCAAGTCTTTGTTTTCATGGACTTTTATTGCAGTGGACACTTTATACATTTTATGAAATTTTGTTCACACTGGACACTTTATAATTTTCATGATTTTTGATTGATTATGTTTAAATAAATTGTTGATGAAAAAAGCACATATGCACAAAGATTTATAGCAAATGTATTTTACCGTATTTTTTGCTCCATAAGACACACATGACCATAAGGCGCACCTAGGTTTTAGAGGAAGAAAACAAGAAAAAAATATTCTGAACCAATGGACTGCACACATAGTACAGGAATGACCAGAGACTGCGGATGTACTACAGGAGATGACCAGAGACTGCAGACATAGTACAGGAGATGACCAGAGACTGCAGACCTAGTACAGGAGATGGCCAGAAACTGCAGACATAGTAGGAGATGACCAGAGACTGCGGACACAGTACAGTGACAGAGACTGCGGACATAGACAGGAGATGACCAGAGACTGCGGACATAGTACAGGAGATGCACCATAGTACAGGAGATGACCAGAGACTGCAGACATAGTACAGGAGATGACCAGAGACTGCAGCACATAGTACAGGAGATGACCAGAGACTGCAGACATAGTACAGAAGACTGCCAGAGACTGCGGACATACTACAGGAGATGACCAGAGACTGAGGACACAGTACGGGAGATGACCAGAGACTGTGGACATAGTACAGGAGATGACCAGAGACTGCGGACACAGTACAGGAGATGACCAGAGACTGCAGACATAGTACAGGAGATGACCAGAGACTGCATACATAGTACAGGAGATGACCAGAGACTGCGGACATAGTACAGGAGATGACCAGAGACTGCGGACATAGTACAGGAGATGACCAGAGACTGCGCACATAGTACAGGAGATGACCAGAGACTGCGCACATAGTACAGGAGATGACCAGAGACTGCGCACATAGTACAGGAGATGACCAGAGACTGCGCACATAGTACAGGAGATGACCAGAGACTGCGGACACAGTACAGGAGATGACCAGAGACTGCGGACACAGTACAGGAGATGACCAGAGACTGCGGACACAGTACAGGAGATGACCAGAGACTGCGGACACAGTACAGGAGATGACCAGAGACTGTGGACATAGTACAGGAGATGACCAGAGCAGACCTTTGGGGAGGGGGGGGGAGCGGGTACCTGAATTTGACAGGTACCCGCTCCCACTTCCGCTGTGATTGCCTAGATTATCGGAAGTGGAAGTTGTCCTCCTCCCCTCCCTCCCCATAGTCTTCTGGGACACGTGACAGGTCCCAGAAGACTACAGGGCCATTCACAAAGCGCAGCGCTTCTCGCACATGCGCAGTGGGCACCTGGCTGTGAAGTCGCAAGCTGTCACAGCCAGTGCCCACACTGAAGATGCCAGTGCCAGGGAGAGAAGACAGCCGGTGAAATCAGCCATGGTGAGGACACTGATGGACCAAGGGACTGGTAAGTGTTTGTATTTTAAAAGTCAGCAGTTACAGTTTTTTTTTTTCTTTGGAGAAATAATATCTTATTTAGGAACTGCAATCCTCCCTCTTTAGCCTCCCATATTTGACTGTTGGTCATTGAGGCCACCCTTCATAGTTACTAGTCATAGGATGAACATGGCGGTGCCAGAGAGGAAGGACCTGAGCTCTTGAATATAGCCATTTTTTTATTTGCATAGTAGATCACTCCAAGTAGTAAGGCTTCTTGAACACTCAGTGAATCTTATAACTAATATTGTAGGTACTGTCTAAGTGTCGAATTTTAATGCCTAGTGACATCTTAGAGATGTAAAAGGGAATACAGGTTCACTTTAATTTATAACATAATACATGTTTTTTTTCCTTTGCTTCAGAGCCTAAATCAATAAAAATATTGATTAAATGGAGCACTCATTAATATTTATGATGTCACATTATGCCCGCACACATAATTTTTACAATTCTGATTTTCCACAAATGCTTTCAAAACGTTTCTATTTAACTTTTTTTTTAATAAAAGCTTTGTGCTGGAAAAGATTCAGATTGAACTATTCACTTAATAATTTTTAAATTGAACACCCATAGTAAGCAATATCACAGAGATCATCTGCTAATTGAAGCATTATGTTACTGACACCTTAAAGCTGCAGACCTGGGGGTCATAATAACATCTTACACTAGCCTTCCCCAGTGCCACACATAAAGATTTTCTTCTTTATGTATGCTTTAGCATCTGTTTCAGTTGTATACCAGCTTATTGAATGTGAGTAGTTTTGCAGAGGTAAAGAATAAAGGAACCTTGTCATGAAGCGTTCCAACCAGGGGCGGACTGACAACTCATGGGGCCCCCAGGCAATAGGGGATCATGGGGCCCCTGTGTCCTTGCCCAAACTCAAAAAAGCCTAAGAAAAAGGTACCAGGGGCATCTCATGGGGCCCCCTACTGACCCCAGGCCCTCGGGCAGTGTCCAAGTTTCCAAATGGTCAGTCCTGGTTCCAACATAAACTAATGGTAGCCTCTAAAACAGTAGTTGTCAACTTATGAGCTAAAGGGGCCTCAAATGCGGCCCTGACATCACCAAAGAGCAGCACATAATTCAATATATGTATTGCTTGAGAGGACTGCCAGAAACTGCAGATATAATAGAGAAAATTGGGGTCAAAGAGTGTGGACATGCTACTTTTTAAGCCCTTGTTCACACTGTGCAGGTTGGTTGTGGGTACGGGAATCGTATCTGTTTCTGCACCCAAACCACCCGCAGCCAAATTGCGCTGCTCTTATGAGACTTGCAGGGCTGTCATTCAGAAAGAATGGCACCCCCACGCATCTCAGTCTGCAACGCGTTTGCCGGTGTGGGAACCACAGGAACGTGGTATGGTCAAAAAGACCATGTGATTTCCTTGTGGCCATGTTTGCAAAAAGGTGCAGGCAATTTTTTTTTTTTTTTGCGGAAAATGCAGGCACAGCAGCCTATTCACATGAATGGGCTTTGTGTCTGCGCAAGCTCAGGCCGTACGGCCTACACAAGTGTGAACCAGGACTTAGCTGCAGGTATGCTGCAGAAGACAATACTGAACATGTTACGTGAGGCTAGTAGAAATCAATGATAATCAGTGCTTCCAATACAGACTGCTGAGGTCCGAGGGCCACAAATCATATACCAATGGGCTGCAGGTTGGGTGCCAGGGCTCTAAAAGAAGAACAAGTATGCCTACATTTCTGGAGTCCTGTGTTTAAAAAATATGCAGTGTTGATGATCTCCAGCTGCAGCAGGTATTTGACATGTCCAAGATTGTGGAATACCTCCACTCCACAATGCTGGTTGCAAAGCTGACTCCTGTGTCCTGCATACCAATGTAAAAGTGTATGCTCATTTTTTATAGAATATAATGAGGGGGTTGATACCCTGAAATGTATCAATGATAGCAGAGGTTTTCCCAAAGACACTCTACTTGGAGTTTGCCTTTCCTTGGCTATTCCACTTTAGCTACTCCACTTCCATCCACAGCTATTCCACGAATCTTTAGAGAAATAATATCTTATTTGTCAAAAATATCTTGGAACGCTTGAGAGTCTGTCCAGGCAACTCAAGTAGTCATGAATTGTTCTGTTTTGTCAACTTCTTCTGCTATTAGGCATTCAAGGTGCATGATAGAATCACTCCAGGGATTGTTCAAAGTTAACCCTTAGTTTAGAAGAGTGGTTGTATAAACAGTCTACTATTCTGGTGAGCACAGGGGCTTGATGGTATAGGATTCTGTTTGGGGCATTTGCTCCTTCTTTGTTTTTTTGGAGGAAGAGTATTCTACAGTTTAGTCTATGAATGGCAGCAAATTTGTAAAGGTGTGTTGTGAGTTTCTAATAAATGTCTTGGGGATAACAATTGCAATAGTTTGGAATGAGTAGAAAATTGAGGTGTGATATTCAAGTATGGTAATTCTACCCAGTCAACAGAATGTTTTAAGATCATATTTCTTGTGATATATTAGGGTTTTATGGAGTAGAGGCTAGTAGTTGAGAGAAAACAGCAAAGATAAATTGGTGGGTATGTGTATCACTATGTACATATTTCAGTGACCGGATACAGAGGGAAACATTCCACCTTTCATACCATGGTTCATGTTACTCCCATAATTTGGAATTAGCAGAGAGCATAGTGCCATTCTGCAGCCACCCACCCACAAATAGCCCCCCACCCCCCCTACAACTTCAGCCGTGTCATCCTTTCAGAGATGTATTCACAGTATCAATGAATGGAAAAACTACCACAGTGGCAGATGGACTCATAAGTCTCAATGAAGCACTAGTGTGGATACATCACTATACTCATAGTCCCATAATTACTGCTTTCAGCTCCATAGACAGAGGTGCTTACATCTATACAGACCAAGGGCTGGCGGAACAGTCTGCAGGAACCTGTGCATTGCACTCGCAAGGCACTGATTACAGTTGCAAACCTCTGCAGACTTCAATGGAAAATATTAATGAATGCATGTTTTCCTTTTAGCAATATGGGTGCATTTTGAATTTTTTACCAAAAAGCGGAATATGCCTTTATTAGGTACACCTTACTAGTACCAGGTTGGACCTCTTTTGCCTTCAGAACTGTCTTAATTCTTTGTGGTATATATTCAACAAGGTGTTGGAAACATTCCTCAGAGATTTTGGTCCATATTGACATGAGTTACTGTTGCCTTTCTATCATTTCGAACCAGTCTGTCCATTCTCCTCTGACCTCTGACATCAACAAGGCATTTTCATCCACACAACTGCCACTCATTGGATATTTCCTCTTTTTTGGACTATTGTCTGTAAACCCTAGGGATGGTTTTGTGTGGAAAACCCCAGTAGATCAGCAGTTTTTGAAATACTCAGACCAGTCCAACTGGCAGCAACAACCATGCCACATTCAAAGCCACTTAAATCCCCTTTCTTCCCCTATTCTGATGCTCAGTTTGAACTTCAGCAAGTCCTCTTCACCACATCTACATGCCTAATTGCATTGAGGTGCTGCCTTGTGATTGGCTGCTTAGCAATTTGTGCTACTAAGCAATTGAACAGTTGTAGCTAATAAAGTGGCCGGTGAGTGTATATAACAAGTCTGTATTGGGTGGGATTGAATATTAGAGTGAGCCTCTGAATCTCAGCCAACTTCCACCAATATATGGTCCTGAGGAGTGTAAATCGTCACAAGCATACATTTTACATATCCGCTGCAATGAGGGGGAGTCAGCCCAAAAGTAAGGTTTGAGTGTCTGGAGGGAATCCCTCCCTGCAACATGGTTGTATGGGTTCCGTAAAAGAACCATGGGTATAGTAAATATAAAGCAAAACCTTTTAACACCTGCATTTATCGAGGTTGGATCACGTTATCAATCCATTTTGTAGTGCAGAACTCTGCCAATTGTTCCTATTATTTTATTAAGGTCAGGTTTCAAAAAATCACAATGCTTTTTTATGCGCAGGTCCCTAACTGCACTTTTAAGCTCTACGCATGTCTGAAGGTAAGATATTTCCCACCATTTGGATATTTCTGCATTGATCTTGTTTTCCAATTTATGGAACTCGCAACATAACACCTGTAATTGAGTATCAGTGATCATGGATTGTAAAACAATGTGATTTAGTGTAAACAGGGAAAATATATCATTTAACGTATTCTTTTTGGAAGGTGCAATATCATCAATGAATTCCATAATGAATGGGTAAAATAGAATAACTATACAAAGACAAATTCCTGCAGACCAATAACTAGCCAGGGAAAACGGCTGTAATAAAGCAGTACATAAAGGTTCCCAAGAATTAGCACACAATATAAAAAATATATATATCACCAAGAGCACAACTATAAAACAATTTCACTTTTCATAAAAGTATATAGAGTCCATAAAAAGAGTCCATAAGTAACTCAGAATGGATGGGGTTAACCACTGACAGTGTCTGCATATTCTCCTCAGATACAGGATCTAGGTGTGGGGTAGGGGTGCTGAAAGCCTAAATCATAACATATAACTGTGCTAT